TGAGAGAGAGTCAGAAAGAGTGTTTGGGGATCAACATTCACACATTGGATTCCAATTTACATTAATAGAAAACATGGAAATTTTGAGAGATTGAAAAAGTCAATTCAAGAAATTTACAATTCTCATCCAACAGTTTACAATCATTGTGAGAAACCAAATTTTGATAATTGGGTCGTTTATGCAGATCTCATGTGTAAGCTGATGAATTCTATGGTCGTTGAAATCATGAAGGGTAATACTCATGCCTCAATTAAGGCATTGTATGGTTATATGTATTTCCATAGATGGTTAATTTATTTAAGTGAAAAGTTTCCTAGAATTGTTAAACGTTTCGAGCATCAAGTTAATCAATTTAACAACACAGAAAAGGAGAGATTGAAATCTTCTTGTCCAAATCTTGGTGAATTTCTTCCAAAACTTTCAATTTTAGGCGAAAGCAAACTAACCTGGAGCTCTGTAAAGAAATCCATCGTTGAGGAAACTTCTATCAGAAATGCTCTTTGGGTAATCAAGATGTATCCTCAATTATCCAGATTGAACGAATCAGACTCTGAAAGATGTGAAAAATCATGGGAAGCCAACAAAGTTTCGTGTAAATTAATCATGTTTCATGTTTTCTTTTTGAGAAATATTGTGGAACAATATAGTAATCTATCATTGGAAGAGTTTGGAAGGTTGTATGATACCAACTATGGATGTCCTCCAAGAACTAAAAGTGGCGACTTGTTGGAAGATGTCTTGCAGAGAGAAATTTTCAGAATTCAACAGGTTTCAACTTTCCAACAATATTTCGAATATGTTGGAGTGAGAAATCTCAAAGATGAATCGTCCATTGCAAAGTACTTGAGAAATTGTGTCACTATTAGCTATGAAAGAGGTTACCATGGATAAGTTTAAAAAGTAATAAAATCTTATTAACTTTTTCTCAAGAATTTCCAGTATATTCGTTGTTTCCTTGCAACTAGTGTCATTGTTCACATCGTATGAAAGAGGAAAGGATTTTTATGATGCTGAAAACCAGAATTATCTCAAAACTTGCTTGATATTTGATCGATTGTTGAAACAAACACGCTGGACATGAACTTTAGATCCAGATACTGTCCCTTCCAAAAACTTAGATTGATCTCCAATTTGAGTGCTTATATTTGCTAACACAAAAACATTTATAGAAACTTCCGTTCCAATAAACTATT